GTCTCTGTTGCATAATCGCACACTTTCCACTATGCGAATTTAACGTGCTTTTAACGCATTACTGACTCGTCCATTTTTTCTGTTCCTTTCTTCTTGAGTTACACAGCAGAAAGCTCGATAAAATCCTCTCATTAAACAAACTGTAATACCGGTTTTCCCTCTTAAGCTACCTATGAGTGATTGTTTTTATTGTTTACTTAAGCGTTTCACTAGAAGGCATCTCGCTTGTGGCGACTTGCGGTGATCATTCAAATATCGTGTCTTGAAGCACGACCGTTAATGACCAAATCAAATCCAGACTGGGATGATTTTAAAACGCTTCATTGTAAATATATGCTTACAGTCACAGTTGGGTAATAAATCCCGGATTGCTGGCTGGACCGGTAGAGAAACGGAATAAAATAGCTGTGATGAATGGCTACCGAACATTAGCTCTTAAATGCCATCCTATGTATTCAAATAAATTTACTTGTTTCAGGCAAACGTTTTCACAAATAACAATTCTCGTAAAAATTACGCTTGTCTTACGAAAGTAGCCAGTCCTGAGCCCATGCAGAAGCGGTGAGTCCCGCTATCGTGATTCATGAAAAGACCGAAACTGCGGATATCACAGCTGTAATGAGACTCCACATGAGAATTTAGAAGAGCTTCCATGCTTTTAGGGGTTCCTAGCTTGGATGCGATTGTCAAAGCACCGATTAGGTACACCATTTTACGGATTAATATTAATTATTCCAGTGTTTACTAATATAGGCCTATCACTTTGCTCAGATATGAGTCTACCACAGGAGACCAATGTTAAGATTGTCTTTAACCTCAAACAGCTCATTGACCATTCAGCGAATAAACAATAGAGCTTTGTACAAGGCCAAAACTTGGCTAGCGTATTTAGAGAACTCCTACATGTTTTAATTGTGCATTAATTTAGGAAGTTAAGAAAAGAAGAGTGATAAATTATAATAGGTAAAATTGAGCATTGTGAAGAAGTAGAATATTGCAGCACCATTAAAATGTGTTCAACAGTCCATCCATGGAGGTACTTAATTCTCCACAGACTGTACCTCTACTCGGCAGCATGGCCTCGGGGCCTTAACGATAGTCTCTCAGTTTATTCCCTGTGGCAGTAGTACATTTTCTTGTGGTGTTGGTGAATTCTTACGGCCTCGGGGAAGACTCGGGGCGCTGCATTGGTGGCAGCAGTAAACGAACCAGCTTCAAGTGTGTAAATATCCTAATTCATGCTGTTGAATGCTATGCCATAGTGAGACAAGAAGAGCATCTGCCGCGAATGGATAAATCTGTGAAGACACCTGGCAGAAGGCCAAAAAATGACGTCTACTTTAGCAAATTCCCTATTTATGTGTTCTGGGAAGTGCTACTCACGACCAAAGCAGCACCAGCCTTGAACCTTCTGCAAAAGTTTGATATGTAGCAGTCCTCGTTACCTATATGAGGGTGTCAACTAAGTGAACAAGCGATACCTCCTCCACATCCCTACCAGTTGAACGGAAACCTGAGAGAGAGATGGCTAGCCAGCACTGAATAGAGAATAGCGTGGGAAGGAGGAATAGACGCAAAACGTTACCCGCATAGAGTTATGTCAACTCCCATCCTTTATTGCATGACCATATGCATTTATGTCAACCCTCACGACTTGCGATTGACATTCGAGATGTCCTCATTGTGAACCGTCATCCAGTGTTGAGCAGCGTAAAGACGGCGCATTTCTCCATCTCGGTACACTCCTCGTGCGTGACATCGGAACCATGGATCTTTTCGGTTGCATGCGAATTCAATAACTGTCTACGTTATGATAGTTGATGCGAGAGGTCGACCAAGGGGGCACTGTAGATGACGCTCAAAAGAAGAAGGAGACGATGTAATGCTTTGGTATTCTGTTTAACTCTGCGTTTGCCTCTACAGATTGTAAATCTGCTCGAAGTCATAGTTTTCGGAGCATGAGCATAGACCCAACTCTTCTGTATGTTGGTAATATTCTTTCTGTCACACTATAATGCCGATCGTCTATGCTGAATACTTATGTTGTTTTAATGTATCTTTCGGGGAGGAGGCAAGCAGGAAATTCGAATCTCATGACCGGATCTTCCCCTCCCGCACCTAGTGACTGCGATTCTCCCCCTTCTTAAACGTTGTGTTTTTCCCCTTTATCTCTTCATCTCTAATAAATATGTCCAAAATGAATCAATCGGGCTTGTCTAAGAACGCTGGGAATAGGGAAGCGGAGACCGACGAGTCTCGCTCCACAATACTGTTTAACACCAAACTTTACTGTTGAAAAACGCATTTGTTTTAGTGCGCACCATGATTTTACTCCCACAGGTATGTAAAAGGCCCCAAAGTAGGACATATTATGAAATTATAATATTCAAATTTGACAAAGGGGTCTTTGGAATTGGTTTTATGTAAGCTTGGGGTATTGTGGCACTTTCTTTGTAATAACAAAAGAATTTGCCTGAACAAAACTAGCCATTTAAAGTAAAGTGTGGCAATAATAAAGCAGGGGATTTTATTTTGTTGATTCACACTACAACATTATCGAATTTCATAAGTTCGATTTTTTTGAACTAAACTGGAATCAAGTGGAGGATCATATCCATGATTTTACTCTGACATTTCGTATATATTTTATTTTTAGAGTTCCTTACTTGTAATGTCATTTTAATAATACTCATGTTTATCCTTATTAGTGGAAGCAGGGGTCTTCTAATTCGCCTGATTTGTGTGATTTGCCTCTCGTAGCTGTCGATGCACGTATTGGGAGTTACAAAGGCGGTGTCTCTTCATTTACCATTAAAAACCACTGCAAGGTTTGCCGGAGGTGTCTTTCGTGCTCGGTATACTGTTATGGTGCATAACTTACCTTCCCTAAAATAGTCGTGGACTTCCGGCGGCAAACAATGAATGGGGTCCCCTAACTGATTTACCAGACTATTCATTCTTGGGTAAAATTAGCTGTTTCGCCTATTTTTAGATGGTAGAACTCCTAGAATAACAACTGTTGGGCAGAGAAGAAGGATTCTCGACCAGTATGCTACGGTGGTATGCCTTCATCTCCAAACACTTGATAAACTATCGACAACAACTGCTTTGGAGTTGATTTTGTAGTATTAAGTCCATCAAGTGTTTTGTGCTAAATTTTCTGAAAGTTTCTTGGTCAAGTTCTCTGTGCCAAGTTATGGGATTATTCTTACAAACAGTGTTTGTGCTTAATTCCGATTAGCTTAGCTGGAAGTTATTTTTTAGAAGCAAATAATCACTCTCTCTGCTGAGTTAAACGACTCCAACAAGAAATTGAAGGAGCATCAAGATTCAATAGATGAATTGCGCGCAAAACTTACTGGACAACTACTAAAAGCAAAGGGATCGCAGAAGATAGTCTGAGTGTTCTGATGTATTGTACATGACAACTGAAAAGCCAAATTATATGCCTCCGGTCTTTTTCCTGTCTTTTAAATGATAATGGTATGATCGTGGATGCTTATTAACAAGAGGCATGGAGCGAATGGACGCTCGACGGGCCGACTCTGCAAACAGAAACAATCCCACAATCTGCGATAAAGGATAGCGGAATATCAGGAGACGCGGGTTTACTGAGATGAGTGAGTTTGCAATGTACAATAGTACAAAATCTATGATTTCTGCCGATGTTCGTCAAGCCACTGCTGCATCACTTCCAAGGGGTAGTCGGGCCCTTCGCACCGTAAGCCACTTATAGGGTCGACAATATTTCCAACGGGAAAGACCACCTTTTTGAGCTTGTAAACCGTATTAAACGCAATTGGGGGGTCGCACCTCTCCACTAAAACTATGTCGCCAATATCGGCCTCCGCGCCCTGCTTGTGTGTCCAATACGTTCGCGTTTGATAGAAATACTACGGAATCTGCGAACATAAACGAATGCAAACCTTAAGCAGGAACTTGTTGAGACATAGTTTGTGTATTTTGACTTTGATTATGTCCTTTCTCGCGGCTGTCAATTCTTGGCCGAAAGGAACCACCTTGCCAAGTGCAAGATCAAAGGGGGCTTTGACAACTCTCCCAGTGTAGGAGGCATTGACGGGAGAAACTCCCTCTAATTCTGGCCTGTGAAATGGGAAGAGCTTCTGTACATGAGGCTCGACTAGTTTTTGCACGCGTGCACTTCGGTGCATCCAGTACCGCACCATCGTTGGTTAGCGGCTTGAATGTTGCGGGATCGCGCGAGGTGACTTAAACGACTTTGACCATTGAAATTACTGCTTGAACAAAAAGAGTAACATTTCATAAAATCTCAATTTGCGCATATTTTGGGTTAAAATCGTTAAAGATTTGACAAAAACTTAAAATAACTTGATAACAATTTGTATTAGCAGAATAGCCAAGCAACTTTCCTTTTAATAAGCCCTTCGTAAACTAGGTTTAGTATGTGCCTGCCACAATTAAGTGCCAGTTAAAAGCATGTGAAAGAGTAGATGTCAATAAGACTTCTTCCCTCTTTTCCTTTGGGTATTAACCAATCATTTCACCATTTGCTTAACATTTCACTCAAATTTACTCTTCATGCATTAATTTCAAATTATTTTACAGAATATTACTGCAGAATTCTACGTTATCAAGACTAGGAGGGTGCTCATGGACGTGGATGGATTTTCATAAATAGCAATTCATTTCTGTAATACTTTCTGTTGTCGCCTACCACATCTTCTCCAAATGCCATGCTACCAATTTGTTGACAGGCTTCTGCAGCTTTGCAGCTGAGCATCATTTGATCCATTGGGAAGGTAAGCTGGGGCCAGATTAGCTTCAACTGACATTTTATGCAATGACTGCTAATGCAACAAGCCATTCCGAAAACGCCAGGGAATATTCATCTTTTGATATTTGTCTGCACGGTGATTCGTGTCATTAATGAGGTAGAACACTCACGATGGCATTCGAAACACGATAAGTTTGCAGAGAAGATTTATGACCCACAATTGCGTGTGCAATCTCCAGGACTTCTTATTCTAGCATGATTCTTCCTTCACTGTGAGGGTAGGTAGCTTCACTCGTGCTCACAGCCCTTCATGTTTCTTGATAACAAATCTGCTTACAAGTTCGTAGGTCCAGTGACATTATTGGGTTCCATGTAGCGCCACAGCTTTGACCTTTCATCTCACCAACCAAATTCGATGGAACAATTTCTACCACAACTAATTGGAAAAATGATGAGAATTTCGTTTGCGATTATGCAACCGAGAT